GTCGGAGGTCGAACGACTGCTCGGGGAATCGAGGCTGGCTGACGATACGAGTGCGAAGAAGTTTCGCGTCAAGGGACGTGCACAACGAATGGCCGAGAACGGCGAGGCGCTCAAGTACATCGAGTCGGTGCTGCGACAACTGCGAAGGGCCAGTCGCGACCATCGGCAACTCGTCGAGCAACGTCATCGGGTCGACGTCTCGCAACCGTTTCGTGCCCCGTCGACGACTTACGAACATCCACGGAGTTTCGCGCAGACGGGACTCTTCGAGGAGGAGCGGGTCGACCCTCGGGAAACGCCTCGAAGAGGGTACGGTTGGCGAGAGGTTGACAGGATCGAGGAACCTCGGGAACTGGACGAATACTCCGTGCTGGACGTCGCGACGAAACTGTTGGCGAGGAGGAAATCGTACGCGAGAGGCGTCGACGCGATGGAAACGATGCCCAAGAGGATCCACGAGAGGACGAGTCTGACCAGCCGACACGAGTTGCGATACGTTCCTGCGTACCAAGGAATTGATACCACGATTATTCGATGAACCGCGTGTTCGACTAACTTGGACCGTGTAGATCTCTGTAAAAACTGCCTGTCGCACCTGTTGGACCGATATGGAGGATCTGAAAGAGACTTCGGATAATGCAAACGGCAATGGAGATCAACGCCGAGATCACGGGAGCAGATTGTCGGAGAGAACCCGCTTGGAAGCACGTGGTATTCCATTTAAGAAGACTGAAGTCGCGGTAGCAAAAAAATTCCTTCGACGACTCGGGAGCACGAGAGTGTATTTTTCTCCCCTCATCCGAATAATTGACTTTGTACTTCGAGGACAGAAGGCATCGCGAATGTCGAAGCGCCATGAGCTACGGTAATCGATCGAGAAGAGGAAAAGAAGAAAAGAGGAGCATTGGGGATCGACGGTCATCGGTGTTCTTCGGAGGTTCGCGAGAACGAAGGACGGTGGTTAGGTTCGTAAATCGAAGGAGCTCTTCGGAACGAGAACAGACCACTCGGTATCGACAATCTTTTATTCGCATACTTTAGATCTCGATAAGCATTTAATGTTCATTCGAAACGTAACGAAAATGGGAATTGAATCTCATCGCGGATCACAGTAGCAGTCTGTTTCGAGGGAAAATGGCGACGGCGAACATCGGTACGCTTCGACGGATGTATTTCGCTTTTCGAATATGTGATAATACAGACGGGTGTCCGGCTAGACGATCGACGAATCGTTGAGTCCTTAGTAGGGGTGTGCGGGATCGAAGAAGATCGGGAAACTTGGGATACGGTCTCTATAGGTGGAATTCTGAAAGATGGGGGACAAATTTTCAGATTTAGAAATTTAAATGGTTCCTTTCCAAATTCCCGAATTCCATCTCAAATTTCCTAAGTCTCCAAACTTCCAACTTGTTAAATTTCCAGATTTTTTCAACGTCTACATCCCTAAATTCTCAGGTCTCCAAAATCCTGCTTCCTTGAACTCCCAAATCCCTAAAGTTCTAAATACTCCAATTCCAATATAGTTCAAATTTATTCACATTTCCAAATCTGGAAATTTAAAACTTTCCAATGTACGAAAAATTGTAAATTAGAAAGTTAGAAATTTCAGAATTAATCCGAGAATGGAATTTGGGAACTTGTAAATTTGTAAATGCGAAGATTCAAAAAAGCCTAAATTTCTATATCGAAAGACTTGTAAATACGAAGTTTCTAAATCGTGAAATTTGAGAAATTGAAATTTCGAGATCCGTATCGAAGTGCGATCGCGAGAGTCACCCGCACGCTTCTATTGTTAAATGTCGGACAAGCAACGTCTCGGCTGCTACTTCGACGTTACTGTGTCGTGCTGCCTTTTTTTATTTTTAGGAGAAACTGTTAGATCTCGCGCAGTATTCGCAAGCAAGCGCACTAAAACGAGAGCAAACGATCTCGAGTATCGTGAGCGACTTGTTTGACAAGATGGCCACGGTCTCGAGCCTTCTTCCGGCCTGAGGATTCGATCGCGAATGAATACGCGTTAGAAAGGACGCGTTCCGCAGGCCGACATTTGTAAAATAGATAGCGAAAATGATTAGGTATATATATATATAAATATATATATTATACACCTGTTGTCAATATGAACATAGGGCCTATAGTTTGGTGGCGCTACGAGAGCAAAACTGTATTGAAATAAGCTCGTTCGTAAGTGGAACAGCTTCGTGTAAATAGAACAATCTAAAGCGATATTAAGGAACATGGACTCTGGGGGAGAAAAGAAAAGAAACGCGTGAAATGAAATTGGTCGTGAGTTTCGTTTCGGGGGAACGAAATAGAGCACGACTTCTAAAAAAAAAAGAGAAGAAAAATCGATCATGAATTCTCCGTTCAATTACGCTCGTTATTGAATCATTTTCGTTTCTCGTTTCGTGTTAGAAATTACATTGGTTCGTCCTTTCTGTTTGTTCGCGATGTCTGTAGTTCATGGACGAGGATATGAGATGAATTTATCGGTAACGTTTCCTCGATGATGATCTACGGGGCGGCCTCGAATTAGGGTCTTTCGATTAAAACAAAAAAAATGTGAATTGATTCGCGTCGTGACGTACGACGAGGATAATACCATTGATTACGATAACGAAACAGGGTAGCCTATCAATTATTGAAACGATTCCGAAAACAGAAGGCTGCACACTAAAAGAAAGGAGACGGGGAAAGAGAGAACGTGTCGGCGTTGACGACTAAAGGAATTCGAACGAGCGACGAGTATGTTCGTCGCGCGTTCAGAACTAGAACGAATATACATTTGTATCGTGAAAAGATATCTTTATATTACGACGTCTGTAACATAATTTCTGTACATAACTGGAATTATTGCTCACCGTATCTCGTAAGATTTAGTTAGTTTTGTAACTGTGAAAAGGAAGATGAGGAAAAGGAATACACTATGTGCATATCTGATTCTGCGCGAGCAACTGTACGACGGACGGTTCCTCTCGAAAAAAAACTATCGACTTTGTCGCCGGAGATAAAAAAATCAGTATTCGTGACGATATCTTCTTATCGGGGAACCTTCCTCGCATTCAGGGTTTCACAGAATTATCTTCATTAAATCGAGCAGTAATTATCAATTTATGTTCATTCGGAATTAAATCCTTAGTTAAGAATTAAATTGTGCTTACTGATTCAGTCATTTCTTAATTCAAAATTAATATTTCATTTTTAGCTCAAACTTATTAAATTAGAAGCTTCTCTTCATCCCCAATTAATAGCTATATTTTAATCCTTCAATAAAAAAGTATCAATTATAATTTCATTGTTAGTAGCTAAAATTTTTGAAACCCTGCTCACATTCCACGATCGACCCTCGCACGATGATCGATCGTTAAAAAACGATCAGTTCCTTCGTTCGAAAACTCTCGACGAGAAGAACGATCGGTCCGAACCAGATTATACAGTGTAGTATTATCTTATTCGTAAGCATTTTCAATTTTCTCGTGCGGACCGCACGTTTTCCTCATCGCGAGACAGTCTCCATTTTTTTCGGGTCCCGGAACCATCTGCCGTGAGGTCGGCTTTATTGTACATCAATCACTCTGTACAATGTTCATCCTGATGTTACTGTTAACTATTTAAGTGAGCGAGCGAAAGAGCGCGTGCGTGCGAGCGAGCGAACGATTTTTGAAAGTTTCAATTCGAAGCGCGCAAATCGAAGTCCTCTGTGCGCGTGCGCGCGTGCTGATGGCGCATGCGCGGTTACGACAGGCGCGCGCGCATGCGCACTCGTCTGTTACACAAATAACGCGTCTATGTATAAATGCTTGGCGGAATTCCGAACTGTACAGATTAAAACGGGGAGAAAGAGAAACAAAAGACATAGAAAAACACGTACAGGAGAACTCCTTTACAGGAGCGTGTCCAGAGATACGAATACACGACAGAGTTTAAAAACGGCGCATGGCCATATTGGTGAAAGAGAGAGAGTGAGAGAGAAAGTGTGTGAGAGAGAGATCTATTACATACAGACACATGATTTCTATTATAAAAAAAAAACGTAGGTTAACAAAGTATACTGCGGGAAGTAATTACAATCAATGTACTGGATGGTCCGTGGCGATGTTAAAATTAGAAAAGTTTATGTCGTTTGAACCTTAGAAATTTACGCCTTCTTGCCGCTGGGCCATCCTATACGTATTAATTGGTTATCTGTCAATTATTAATTAAATTAATATCGATTTCTTCGCCTTTAGTCAAGGAAAGGAACGAGAGCCGACGGGTTCCAAGCATTTTTCTTCTCGTCGCGCGAGTTCGCGCTCGCGTCGCGCGCTCCTCTTCGCGCGCGCAGCTTCACTCGCTTCCGAGGCTCGCCGCGAAGAGGCAATCACCTATACGAATAGCTTATTTTTCTATAGTGCAATCATTTCGTTTCGTGCAATTCCCCAACGTTGTTTTTTCATTGAAAGTTTATTCGCGCGTTAGAAAAGAACGAAGGATCGCGGGCTCGCGCGATTTGACGAGAAAACTTGGCGAATCGGCTCGGTCACGCTGTGTTGCAAAGCGCGAAATTCTTAGGCAATTTAAAGAGTCCTTCGACGAACGATCATGCGTTCTCTAACTATGGCGCGATACGAGAAACAAAGGAGAAATGAAGAGATATGTTGCCTAATCGGATGAGAGAGGGAAAGTTTTTCAAATTTGTTGATACATTTCATACTTTACGATTAGGGATTATGGCCTATTACTACTATTTCGCAAAGTTTATCCGACGACCCGAGCGTTTCTCATTCCTTCGCGTGGCGCGTTCGGGTTCGATTTATTTTTCTTTTTTGAAGAGAAACGAGGAAAAAATAAAACTGTTGACGTAACTGGGTTAGAAAATGAATTTGAGGATGATGTTTTACATGTCG